GGTTTAAGTGGCCCCGCTCGTGCCGTTAGTGCAGCAGTGGGGGAGGGGGGGAGGGGGGTTGGGAGCGCATTTTTTTGATAAGGCCGCGCCACTGGGTTAACACGACGGGGTCATGCCAGCGGCGCAGTGGCACGCCGTTGAAGAGTGTTTGTGCTCAAACTAAAGCGTGTCGCTGCGCACATCCGTGCACTGTAATTAGGCTTGAAGTGAACTCCACCAGAGTGTTTAAAGTTGCGACCTTGAGGAGGTCAAAGCACAAAAAAAAAAGAAAAAAAAGCTGTTAGAGAATCTTTTTTTGTCTTGAAACAAAAAAGGGCGTCCGTAACTTGTCACCAATGAATGATTTTGCCTAACTGGCACATTTTTGGGGACAAAAAAAAAAACAGCCGCTGAATGCAGCCTAGCTTCAAGGGATCTCTTTGCAATTGTCTTGCCTGTCTTTTGTTTCTTTAACATGAAATGTCTCTTTCCAGGAGGACATTGTGTGAATTGCGTCCCAGCAGCAGTCCGTAATTAAAAGTTAAAATGTAATTACGAGGGCGGCAAATATGAATGGCGAACGATACTTGACAGTAATCGCCCTCCGCCTGGAGCTCTGTGTGGTGAGTACAGTCGAATTGTGTTTTTAGCCAGATGAATGGCTCACAGTGGTAAATAATAGATGGCGAGAGCCGTGAGTGAGGCGCCCTCGGGCTCTTCTCACGGCATCGGCTCGGAGACGCGCGGCTGTCGGCAGTCCGGGCTGGTTTGCTCAACACTTAATTGAATTACACCGAGTTTTTGTCTTGTTAAGCGAGCATTTGGGGGACGGCGGCTTGGAAATAGGTCGAAAGGTCTTGCCACTTCAGAAAAAAAAAAAAAAAATATATATATATATATATATGAACACATAATACCTGTCGTGGAAATTCAGCGCCGTGAGCTCCCTTTGAAGTTCAACACGTCGGCTCTGCGGCGAGCTCTTTTTCGGTGAACCTTTTGACTGCGTCGCAAATGGCCGAGTGAGGGAGAGCGTTTGAACTTTTTTTCCGGCCGGATACGATGATTCCCGAAGCAGACCTTCAACATTTTCGCTCGTTTCAAGTTTTACAAGAATCTGCGGCAGGTGCTCGTGCGCGCGTTTGTGGCGTCATATAAAGGGGGATGATAAAATTGAAGGAGAGATGATGGAAAGAGGGCAATATGGACAATAAAAAAAATGGATCGGGTGCGGGTCATAAATGAGCACGATGGTGATATCACCTTCTGATGAAATGCCACAGCTCTTCCCTTTTTACGATTCCTCCAGTGAGAATTAGCCGGGCGGGCTAGAGCGAACGTTTGCAAGTTGTCGATCGGCTTTGGGACAAAGATAACGAATTGAAAGGAAGGGGAGCGGAATTCATTAGCTGGTTATGTCAATTCTTTTTTTTTTTTTTTGTGATGTCAGGGGCTGACCTCATCTGAAAGTGAGTGGCGAGAAGGGTTGAGTGTTATCTCGGAGGTTGTATCTGTCTGTGCTCCGATGCCCTTGACTGCCCCGCTATGGTCCTTGTACCTGCTTGGTGATAAGCAAGATGACGTATGTGCGCTCTCCGCCTCGTCTTCTTGGCCGTCCGTGACAGCTATTGGTCATGCACTTTGGCTGGCGGGGAGTTCCCTTGTTCTATTTCATGGTAAACATAAATCCGCGTGACCCGTACTGGCCCTGTTGCCTCCATAACGTGCAGGGCAGGAGCTTTCATTTCCCCCTTTTGTTACCACCATCACTCATTAGCTCTCAAACGCATTTCCAAGAAACTTTATGGAAGGTGGGGGGGGGACGTTCTAAAGACCTCAGCTCCTTTTTTAATTTATGTATTTTTGAGTGCACGCGATGGGCATGATCCGCAGGAATGGTAACTTGAAATTCTCTTTAAATTGGAATTCTAACTTTTTAGTAGTGCTAACTTAGGCTAGCTGAGTAGAAGTAAAAGTTGTCATAAGAAGTGTTAGTAAAAGTCATAATCACAGTAAATATTTGTGTAAAAAGGAAAAAAAATCTAAAAATAAAGACTGTATTAAGGTGTTGTATAGCGAGGCCAGCTAGCTCGCTGCCCGTGGCTAGTCGGCTAGTGAGCAGATGGACTCTTACCTCACCTCTTGACATTCCAGCATGTATTTTTGTATGTTTTTAGTAGCTTCTGAACACTCGCTAAAATAAGCTCAGTAGCCTGGTAAATTTAGCAGAGGTCTCCACTGAGCAAATTAAAATGGAGTGACCTACAAATAGCCTGGAATCACCTGAACCTCATTTATATTCAATCCAGATCCGTGAAAACAAATGGCGTGAATATTGCTTTCTTCCACCCCGACCATGGAGCATAGTGCGGCCAGTTGGAGTGCGAGCTAATTTGACGCCAATCAATAGCAGTCTGCGTTTCTTCCTGTGTGTCAGCCGAGTCGGGTGCCCTTGTCAATGTGTCGAGGCGGCATCAGTTTGGCGACTGCAAATCCATGGCGGGCCTCGCCCCTCCTCCGGTGCGCCAGGGCATCCGATTGAATGCGAACGAGATTGATTTCCGCGTCAAATCCACTTGACCGGTGCGCGCACTCGATTTTAACTCGATTGGACAGCAAGACACTTGTTAGGCTAAACAAAAAGATCGCACGGCGTCTTTGCAAAACACACCTGCACGCTAAGATGCTCACATCCTGCACTCCGCCCGCCGCTTCTCTCCCAGCCAATGAGCAGGAAGCCCACCCGCAGCATGCTGGGGAAGCAGCCTGTCATGGGAGGAGGTGTGTCCGCCTGAGCCAAAAGTCTGCGTGCGTGCGAGTGCGAGCTCACACACTGGAAGAGGCGGCCGAGGAGAAGCCAGAGGAGAAAAAGACAGGTGCTTTCACTCATCTTTGCGAGGGACGCGCACGCCACCACGCAAGACAATGATGTGATATTTGTGTGTGTGTTTGTGTGTGTGCATGTGCGTGTGTATACAGAGTGGGGAGATCCTCTGAGGGATGCGAGAGGCGAGCCGAGGAGCAGGAGCGCGTTTCAGCCCCGCGGGGGAGCTCAGACGCGCGGGCATCTCACTCCGACGGACGGCGCGCCGTCTCCCTGGCAACCGCGATGGGCTGCAATTTGTGCACCTTGCAGAAGCGGGAGGAGCACTACAAGCTGCTGTACGAGATTGCGCAGGTGAGAGGATGAGAGTGATGACGAGTGGTGGGGCACAAAACTGAGAGAGCAAACAAATCGGGAGGGGGGGGAAATCAAAGAGAAACTTGAAAGCCGGTTCTTTCGCCGGACTCTTCGCTTCTTGCAGGCAAGGATCCATCAGAAAGGGGTTCTCAAACTTTTGGGGTGCAGGGACCTCTTATACGAGAGAATTGTTTTCCTCTCTCATAATTAGCAATTTATATGTATTTATTAGGGGTGTAACAAAAAAATGGTTACAATCAGAAAATTGGTTTAGATTCAAAAAGATGCGAGTGAATGGAATCGTTGCTCTTTAAAATATCTCGAAAGATGTTTTGAATCGGCTTATTGGAGAGATGCACAATTTGAAGAAATAGATTTGTCATATAATATAATATAGCCAAAGTTTAATAAGGAAATGAACTCATCTTTTGAGAAGCGGGGAGCGGTCTTTGACTTCGGCATGTTTTTGTGATAGCACATTGGTCCCCGTGTGTCGTTTTGCACTTTTGAAATGAAAGCCAATAATTTCTTGCAAATTACTTAGTGAACTCCCGAGCTCTGATTTGCTCAACTTTCAGAAGAACCGTCCGCCAACCACTTGAACTTCATTGCTTCGTACCCACGTTCTGCGAGAGTTTTCACCTTTCGGAGGACGTTTGAAAGTGATCCTCCGAAAGCGAGACGATGATCTTTTCTTATTTTCATAGCTGCGAGCCTCCAAACACATTGGAACAAAAACTCCGTTTCACAACGTTTGGATGTGTTGATTAGAAAGGAAGTGCCTGAAAAGTGTGAATCTCACTGTATCCCCCCCCACCCAAACAATCCTGCCCATATGGTCTGGTGCTGAGTGTAGCAAACGTGCTCTGTTGGCAAGTACAGTATCGGTAGTCACGATTCCCATCAAAGATGAGAGACAAAAACGAGACAAGAGTGTGGAGTTTGCGTGAGCAGGAAGTGTGTCACAGTGTGACTTTGTCCTCAAACCGGAGCCTGACGAGGGAACGAGAGCTTTCTCGGCAATCCCCTCGTCGCTTTTTCCCTTTCATCCTTGCACATTTCTCGAGTCTTCTCCTCCTCCAGGCCGACTCGCTTTCTATTCTTCTCCCACTGAGCGTTTTTTTTTTGGGGGGGGGGCAGTTTGTGTTTCCACGGATACCGCCTGCTTGGAATAAGAGATGAAGGCATATGGATGATTGGAATGAAGAAAAATGTTGTCAAGAGATTGTCAGATGCCAGGCGTTCACTTTCTTCTCTTTTATTGCTTTCCAAATTGGGATGTCGATGCACAAAATGGATGTTTTTTCTTTCCCCTCCTGACAAATGGTGCTGTCTGGTGTGATGATTCCTTCTTTTTCTTTTTTTTTTTCCCCCTCTCTTCCACCACAGTGCCATCTGCTGGCTCTGGGGCTGAACTGCGTCACTTGCCCATGATGCAAACCTCCCAGTAAGCGATAAAATAATGCTAACTTTTAGGTAACGCAAGAGTCCAAAAAAGCGATTCAGTCTGTGCTGTGCTCGGCTCCCTTTCTTCATGAAGAACTGAACGAGTCCACGCCAGCAAAACAATATTTCATGTTATTGGTGGTGCTGAGTGTGCATGTGGGGCTATCGGGTCAGAGACCGTGTCGGGGTTGTGTCGGCCGGGGACAGATGCTAAGCCACATGTCCAGCCTGTTAGACAGCACCGTGGGGGGGTTTCCACCCAGACCCTTCTCCGGTCCGTCACAGTCCACACACAGCCGGCCGCCCCATATGGCCTCCTCGGACCTGGGCCGTGACATCATCCAGAGCCGGCCGAAAAAGAGCCTTTGTGTCTCTTCCGCACAAGCCTTGAGTAAGGCGACCTTTTCAATTTGATCTCGGGCTGCATTTTATTCTTGGAGCGTAGCGAGTGGTGCTGCCAGCCTGCACCGGTCAGCAATTGGACCTTTTCACGTGTGAGCGTTATTGGACTTGACAAGTGGCTCCCAATTTCTGTCCCATGCAAACGCTGTCGGCTGTGGGATTGCATGTCAGAAAAGAAAAATATATTGCGGTACGATATTGTTTTTTTTTTTTTTTTAGATGTCATCCACTTTTCATTTCACACACTTGTTTGCTCAGGGTCAAAAAGGCAAAAAGCGAACCCCCGACGATGACTGTGCTGGCTCTGATAAGCCCGCAATGAAAGCCTGTCTGGGGGTCGACGCAATCCACACACATTCCCCCCCGCACCCCCTCCAGACAAAGCCATAAGATGCACGCACGCACACACACATTTAAGACGTAGACAGACTCATATTTGCACATACACACTCACACACGCACACAATTAAGGTCCGTGTTTATTGCGCATTCTCTGCTTTGTTTTTACGACTGTGTAAAAATGTCACCTCCGGTTTTTATGCGTGATGAGGGGGACTTATCAGTTGTTATCAGCTTGGGCCAATTAGCCTGGCCAAGATGATAGGATAGGGGGCGAGACAGAGAGAAAGAAAGCAGGGAGGAAAGCTTCCCAAAAAACATTTTCACGGTCCTTATCGGTCGCCAGGCACTGTTTCAACTTTGTTCCGTCCCACTGCTTCTGCCCGGCTTTTGCTCTCTGGAGCACCTATTAATACACTTTGGCGTAGCGCCCCCCCCCATCAAGGGAGGATTTTCTTTTTAAATATATATATTTATTTATTTTTTAACCTTGGAGCTAGAGTAACATAGAAAAGCCAAGAAGTGAGAGATGAATTTAATTCGATTTGGTTGTGTGAGCTGCTTGCTGGTGACACTTATATGACAGGAAGCCAACCGCAATAACCCAATAACACACCTTCTGCTCGCATCCGCAGGCTTTGTTCTGTCGGCTTTGAAGCTTCTTAAAAGCCAACCATCTGGAACTTGTCGCCGCACGGTCATGTATACAGAGATCGATCAGCCACCGGGTGAGATTGGCTGATTTTCGGGGAGATGTATGCAATTGGCCTTTCATTCCCGATCACAAAAAAAAACGAACATTTTGAAGGCGTGCAGCCAACTAGAGACCAGCCTCTGCACGTAGCATTATTAAAAAAAAAAAAAAAAATCTGATTCGTCAGCCCCCCAAAAATAATTGACAGATTAATCGATAGAGAAAAAAATGAAAAATTGAAAATAAAAAGGGGAAAAAAAAGTTCATAAAAAAATAATTGAGTTAAAATATTTCTTTGAAAAAAGATATTTGATTACTCTGCTGAAAACGGATTAAATTGAGATTTATATAAAATTTTATCGTCATGTTTGCATTTTTTTCCTCAGTCAGTCAATATACAGTATGTATATTTTTTTAATTGAAGCACTTTCAAACCTTATAGAATCCCAAATTCTGTACGACAAAATGGAGAATTCCATAGTGGAACACTTTGCACCCACTAACGCATCAAGTCCACTTTGGACCTGTGCAGGTGGTCCGAGGGGCAGATGAAGTTACAGCAAGCCCGCTGGGCTTGAATTCCCACAAAACTAAGCGGAGTTTTGCCAGTCAATTAGGCCCACTCGGAGGCTGCCGTCGAGTCCGGTTACGGATAGAATTGCACAAAACCATCTGCGTCGTCCGGGTTGATTACATGCGGCGAACCTTGCGCGCCCTCGGGCTGGAGAGTTAGACGAGTCCATTTGGTGTGGAGATGCGCAAATGTCTGTTGATGTTTTGAGGAAATGCAATTTGTCTTCCCTGCGGATCCATTTTGCGGGATTTACGCTCCTCATATATGTCAACATGATATTTCAACGGAATTATCCTCTCCAAATGGAGTCACTAAAAACAGCCTTGTCTTGAACTCGCCTCCATTTCCCCAACCAAACAGCCGTGAGTTTCCATGATTGGCAATTTTTTTGAGACCATGAGAAAAGTCCCATTTTAAAACTTCATGTGATGAATAATGCTAACGAGCTAGCTACATGTTCCAGTTAGCACAAACATGCATGGCTTTGAAATTCATTGAAAAAGTTGGTGGAAAAATATGAAGTTCAACTCGGGGCTTTTTGCAAGGGGGGAAAAAAAATCAACATTCAATTTTATGCAAAGAGCCACTGCATGAATTTTTGATTATTTTTTAAGGCTCTCGAGGAAAATGATTAATTTTCCAACTGTTTTATGCAAACGCTTTTTTTTTTTTTTTTTTGCCTTCAGCCCAAATCCGAAATAAATTAGAAGACAATCAAAATGCTTTCTTTTGGGAGTGGGGTTTGGGTGGGGTCTTATTTTGGTTGTAAATGGCAGAAAATTGAATCTCATTTAAACTTTCAAAGCAGAGCGAGGCGCTGACTTAAAAGGATGCCCCATTACCACAAATATGCAACCATCTTTTTTTCTTTACTCATCATTTGTGATGCTATAAGCACACTGGCAACCATTCGGAGTTGATTAAATGACTCGGCCATCTGGACGAGCGCTCGGGGTCCGACCTGTGACCCCCAGCAGCCCATTTCTACCTCAGTGCAGGGATGAGGGAGGGAGGGTCTCTCTATTGTCCGGTGTCGTTTTAATGGCGTGCGAGAGAGAAACGGCGACGTGTGCAGAAATGCCCGAGTACCAATGCAGCCCCCTGCCCTTGTGACAAAAGCAGGTTAATTACGGCGGTGGCGACACGGCGTGCGCGACTCAATGCTGGCTAATTGTTCATGTGGATGTGTTATAGTGTCATTATGTACCCTAATCAACATCAAAAATTCAAAAATGGATCCTTATTTTTCTGATCCACATTACGATGTTTGTTGGCAAGCCGCAAAACGGACAACAGAGTCAATCTTGCTGAAGGGCAGCGGCAGGCGCTTCATCATGTGAGGAGAGTTGAACCCAGCAGGGCGAGTTGGAGGGCAGCACAGCCGGCCTGGAAATATGCTGCCAACCAAAAAAATGTTTTATTTTGAACTCATCTTCAGAAGGGGGAAGGCTTAGCTTACGCTGTACGGCTTAATCCATGTTTCATGTCGGCGTGCCATCTTGGTGCAGAACTAATTGGCTGTTTTTCTTTTTTGCAAAAACGCTGAAGGACACTCGTTGCCGCTTGGGCGGACTTTTTTTTTTTTTTTTTTTTTTTTTGCATACGCGATGGCTCGACTCTCCAGTCAAGCGCCGAGCCGCCGTCCGCGAGCGGGGCCGTCTTTACCGCCTGCTCCCCGTTTGATTTGCATGTTCGGCTAATTGTCTCCCATGAAATGCCTTGTCGCGTTGATTAACGGTGCGCTGACGAAATGAAAAACAACATTACCGATCGGAGGAACAGGAGGAAGGATTTACATTTGTAGCCGCGGCGAAGCATTTATTTGGGCTGAAAATCCAAATCCAATGTTAGTAAAAAAAATAATAAAAAAATTATAATAATGGAAGGATTTACATTTGTAGCCGCGGCGAAGCATTTTTTGGGCTGAAAATCCAAATCCAATGTTAGTTAAAAAAAAATTTAATAATAATAACAATAAATGGACGCAACAAATATGACAGGACTCTTGATGATTTCCCTTCATATGGGCTCCAAATGTATTTATGCACTGGCTCCGGGTTTAAAGGCCAAGTAGGGTTCAAACGAGGTGCGTTTCCTCCCCAAAAACGTCTTCCAGCATCAAAGGCAAAGGGTCAATGCGATTCACTGGAGCCTGTCACTCAAAGTCTTCCTTCCACTTTTATGATTGAAATGAGACATTTATGACGCCCGCCGTGGCCTCAAACCAGATTGCGGGCGTGCGCCGCCACCTGCGCTTCCTTCCCATGTCACGCCAATTCCCCCCCATGCCCTCCCTCGAATGGAATAACAATCGCACTTGTATTGGAGTGAAGTCCGCAAGAATCCCAATGTGAAAGAAGACGATTGAATCACCAGAATTGTATTTATTCTTTTTGTCCCGTGTCCCTTTGTCAAGCCATTGGGTGATATCAGCATGATCGACGCAGTTAATGCAGCGAGCAGAATGTAGCGCCGTGTTAAGCCTGTCGGGAGAGCGTGTCGTTTATGAAGAATGGCTTTTCTTTTTTTTTTTCCCGCCCCTCACAATGACACCCTATCTGACAGATTCTGAATCATGCTCTTATCGCCACGTGGCAAACACAAATAAAACGCCATCTCTTATCTGCAGTCCTCCCCTTTTGAATTAAAAAAAAAAAGTGCACAAAGATAAAAGCCAGTGACACATTTTAAAAGGGGCTGACTCTTGAGCATATTGGAGGGCCTGGGGCTGACCTTCATCGTGCTACTTTTAACCCCAATTTCAAGAGACGCCACCTTGTTGGAAGCGCTGGTGGCTGTTTAATTAGAAGATCACAAACTATTAGATGAATAGCCTGTGGCCAAAAATGGTGCTTTGCGATGTCACCTTAGAACGGGCACACAGAATGCAATCTTGGTCAATTAAAAAAAAAAAAAGTCACTCTTTTTCTGTTTGCTTCCTGTTTGGACTTCTATTCAGCCCGTCCACGCAGCAAGCTCATTTCATTTGCGTACAAAAATCGAGAGATGCATTCTTTGATTTGTATGCCCACGTTAAAAAAAAGCTCGTTGTCGCCGCAGGTAAACAGGCGTAACTTCTCCAAGGCGGAGCAGGATGAGACGGCGGCGGAGACCATCGGACGAGAGCCCATCGTCGTCCAGGTCATCCGGCCCACCGCACAGTACCAAGGCCTTGCGCCGCAGGAGGCGCGCGTGGCCGACATGTGCACGCAAACCGACATCACCTTCGAGCACATCATGGCGCTGGCCAAACTCCGACCCGCGACGCCGCCCGTGCCTGACATCTGTCCCTTCCTGTTGTCTGACAGGTCTGATTTACGTTGTTCTCTTTCGTCTTGCGTTTTGTTTTGACGGCGCTTTGCAAGTTAATGGCGACTACTTTGGCTTCGTTTGACACGACTTCTCTTTTCTTTCCAGCTGCCATTCTATCCACGCAATGGAACGTGAATTCTACGAGTGTCCCGAGTACCTCTCCAATATGCCGGCTGAAGTGGAGCGCACTGAAGAGTATGTGTACGAGGTACGATTGCACTTTTTCTTTCTTACTTTTGTCAATTTCAAATGCTCATTTCACCTGCAGAAGCCTGAAAGCGATCACTCAGGTGTGGTGGGAGGGAGGGAGCGAAACATCTCGTATTTCTTTGCCTGGTTTTGTGGAGACTTTTCTTGGATTTCAACTTGGTGGACCCTGTTTAAACAAATGCAGAATGACGAATGGCAAGCATGAGAGTCCATTCCGAAGCCAGCCGATGCTACAACAAATTGCCAATTGCTTGCTCGGCTGGCCCACACCATGTAAACTACAACTTAATGAGCAGGCGACAACACGTGTAGCACAGCACTGTGTATGTGTGTATATGTGCTTGACAAATGGATTACAGCGGTCCAAAAGAGGACCTGTGGGTGATTGTCTGTGACAGTGATGAGCCGCCGTCAGCTCCGGATGGTTTAATGGGCACTTCCTGGTTCAGCAAACGCCGTTGTGGGTCATTAGGGCTCCCCTCCCTGCCAGCTGAGGCCTAACTTGCGGCGCGATATGGATGAGAAGGTCCGTACAATCGCAACGAGCTCAGCTTGGCAGCCAGGTAGCACGTCCGTCAGCCGCGTGTAACTAACCGATACGCGGAGGCTTTTCTGACTGGATGAATGAGGCAGTAGAGCCTCTGCAGTTGCTGCTGAGTGACAAATCACTGGTAATGCACGGAAGTCGCCAACACGGTGTCATAGTGCTCACAAATTGACATGATTGTTTGGAATGGGGAAGAAAAGTATGTCGGCGTACAAACAGTAGATCGTGGTCATTGGAGTTATCACATGAGGGCAAATCAGTTGTAGCTTTGAGTCTCATCGCCCTACGGTCGACAAATCGTGTAATAATACGCGCTGGCGTGTATTATTTATCCTTTGCACAGAAAGGCGAATATAACTGCTGTACAGAGAAGCCAAGAGACGAGCCGAGTCTCTTTAGCACACACAGAGACCAAATAATCGAGGTAAAAGGAGGAGGAGACATATTTGAGCAAATGTTTGTGGGTAAAAAAAAACATTTAAATCATGGCCGGGCCACCTTGTTCTGCCAATACTCAATCCGCATGCAGCAGGCACACGCATGTCATCACGCTATGGGGAAACAATGAACATTAGGCGCGGCAATCATTTCTTTTCAATTAGACATCATCGAAATGTTAAGTGGCAATTAGGCAGAACTGCGGCGAACAGATGTTGCAGACAATGGCGCGCTCGCCGCGCAGCATTTAGATTTCGGCATGCAGCGGCTAAATGCGATCTTTGGCGTTAAGGCACGAGCGGCGAAATGACGATACCGAGGCCACACAATGGAATTGTTGGTGGAGGAAATGAACGGAATTGAACGCTAAGAGCAAAACAATGATACGTCTTAATTTCAACTGAAAGTTATTGCTTGGCCCAACAGGAAGTGGAGTTGTGCAAGCAGAACACTCAAGAGAAGCTGGGCTTAACGTTGTGCTACAGGACCGACGAGGACGATGACATGGCCATTTATGTCAGCCAGGTACAGGCCCGTGGACAACGCTGTTCAGTACTCAATATATACATTTCCGCAAATGAAACGTGTTGTGATTTGCGCAGGTGGAGCCAAACAGCTTAGCAGCGAGAGACGGGCGCATCAAGAACGGCGATCGTATTTTACAAGTAAGTTCTTACACAAAGCGTCGTCTGTTTTGGTGACATTTGACCAAGAGCTTTCGGAGCTCGGAATCCTCCAGACCAAGGATGTGGGCAGATGAAAGTCTTTTGTCTCGTCACAGCTCCAGGTGGCGCTCCATCATCTCTGGCGCCGCTCTTGTTTGGATTCTCGTCAAATGGAATAAGCCTCGAGGCGCGCCGTTCAGGTTACAAAAACGATGCGTAGCAAACACTATTAGGTGACTGAACACGACCGTCGCCGTGGTGTACAAACAAACAAAGAGCGGCAAAAAAGACAACCCGCGCTCACGTGTCAACTCTTAATTCTCTTGGGGTCGTGTTTCTGTTGGCTGTGAAAGATCACGGAGCGCACTGTCCCCGATTCTCGCGGCCCCCCGTTATCTCCGTATGGCAGCCCCATTACTCCACAGGAGAAAAGATGAACGCCGCTTGTCAAAGAAGAGTTAATTGGGTGGCGAGCGAAGACTGAAGAGCTCGGACGGCGGGCTCGCTCAAGCCCGCGCTGGCGGGAACGCGCTTAGCGAAGGAGACGGCGATTAGCTGGAAGGGTTCCAGATCGAAGACTGAAGAGCTCGGACGGCGGGCTCGCTCAACCCCGCGGCGGCGGGAACGCGCTTAGCGAAGGAGACGGCGATAGCTGGAAGGGTTTCAGATCGTTCGAGATGCGAGGCTCGCATCGTTTTACAAGCTTGTGTTTTTGTTTTTTGGTTGCAGATCAATGGCCACACGGTGCAGGATAGAGAGAAGGCGGTTTCCGTGCTGTCGGGAGAAAATACCAAGAGCATCGTCCTGCTGGTGACAAGGCCAGAGACGCAGGTAACCATCGTTCGGTTGAGCCAATCAACCGCCGCAACTTGACAACACGTCAAGGAGCTCTTATTTCCGAGCTGATGCTCGCTGTGGCTTTCAGCCGGACGACGACGTGTGGCTTGACGACGAGCCGCGGGATCTGGTGAAGGAACTGAAGATGGAGATCCTGCAAGCGGGGGGAAAGAATGAGGTGAGAACGAGTCACTCGAGATCCGAATGCTTTGCCAAGCGTTCCGCTCACTGCCTTTTCGAATTCTTCATCCGCAGGCTGGAGATGAAAGGACACCCGACGCGGCTCCCTGTTCCTCCAACGGCCAAGACAAAGACAGCGGCTTTGGGTGCAGTACAGACAGTCCCGAGCACGTATCGGCCGGTCTCTACAGGAGAAGTCCGGCTCAGTGTTTGAGGGAACAGTGGCGAGCCCAAAGTCCACATGGCGGGCGAGGCGGCGTGCGCTCGCAGGACTCCCATAAGCAAAGCTGCGAAGGGGGAGTGAGCATTCACAATGACGCAAGTGGGATCTTGGGCCTGGAGAATTACTTCCAGCAACTTCTGGAGGTCAAGTGTCAAATCCGGAAGGGCGTGGAATGCGGCGTGTACTCCATTCGGCACAGCATCGAGTGCAGCCTCACCGAGCAGGGAGGAGGCGACGGCGATAGCGCCGAGGAGGCCGGCCAAGGCGACGGGGTGGAGCGAGAGTTGAGGATGCTAAAGGAAGAGCTGCGCAGCATCGAGCTGGAGTGTCAGAACATCGTGCAGGCCCGTCAGCTGCGCCAGGCCCGGCAAACGGGCGCCTCGACACCCCCGGCTTCCTCGCAAGGTCAGAGCCACGAGAGCCGCGGCAGGCTGGCCGACATCCACGAGCACCTTCCGAGCGATAAGACCCGAGAAAAAGACAGCTCCAGTGCCTACAACACGGCCGAGAGCGCACGCTCCACTCCGCCGGGTAGGGAGCGATCTCCCGAGCTCTCCCTCCACAGACGCATCAGCATCGCCAACCGGAAGAACCTCCAAATGGCCTCGTCAAAGCCCTCCAGCCCCGTCCCTATTCCCAAGTCTCAGGGGTCACCGGAACACGGTGCGCAAGCCCATCCTTGCGCCGTTTTCTCCAGCAGCCCGGATCAAAGTCACCCTTCTCGATCCGAGTCCGACCCGGCGCTGCCCGCGGACGACGAGCGCTGCGAGAAAAAGGGCAAAACCAAAGATCCCAAAAGAAAACCGCCGTTTGCCTCATACCAAACCAGCCCTTACCACGGCTCGCTCGGATCCCGGCAACTTCAGGTTGGTACGAGTTGGTCATGGCAACTTTTGAGAGTTCCAATTTGGAGGACTGCTAAAGCTTGTTAGGATCGTTTCGCTTGTCTTCCGACATGCACTTTTCAAAATGTAATGCAACCTTCCCGAATAGGAAACGTGTTCATGTTTCCATGCGGGGGGAGTTGCTCAAAAGTATTCGCTTAAGAAGCTAAAGCTAAAAATGAAAGTAGTTTCCCTCCTATTTTCACTTCTATAGCGCTCCTACCGAGCAGCGGCGATGCCAGCTCGCCCTGCTCTCTGCTTTCGGAAACCCCAAAAGCGTCATTTTTGCGCTGACGGTCGTTTGTGTTCCAGAGCTACATGCAGCTGCTCCAACAGCACTCGTCCTTGGAGTATTCCCAGAGCCAGCTGAGTCTGCTGAGCGTCTGCCGGGATCCGCTGAACCGAAACGCTCGCTCCGGGGAACCGCGTCTGGAGTGGAAGGTGAAAGTGCGAGCGGACGGCTCTCGCTACGCGGCCCGGCGGCCGGCCCGCGACCGCATCCTGCGGGAGCGAGCGCTGAGGATCCGAGAGGAGCGCAGCGGCGGCATGACCACGGACGACGACGCCATGAGCGAGATGAAGATGGGGCGCTACTGGAGCAAGGAGGAGCGCAAGCAGCAGCTGGCGCGAGCCAGGGAGCAGAGGAAGAGGAGGGAGTTCATGCAGAAGAGCCGCTTCGAGTGTCTGAAGGAGGGCCCGGCCAGCGGGGCCGAGGGCCACAGGGAGCTCACCATCCTGGAGCTCAGTCACAAGAAGATGATGAAGAAGCGCAACAAAAAGATTCTTGACAATTGGATGACCATCCAGGAGCTGATGAGCCACGGGGCTCGGGTCCCGGAGGACTCCAAAGTCCACAACGCCTTCCTGTCGGTGACAACCGTGTAGGCCTTGTTTTCCGGTGAGCGTCGAGTTTACCCCTTGCTTGTGGAAAAAGCGTCAAGACTGCGGTTGCTGCGGACATGTAGCATTCCTTCCCTCGAACGCTTTTTTCTTTGCAACCTCGGCCGTTTGACTGTCGTTCGTCTGCTTTTGGTAATCATCCGTCGATGTTGTTTGTGACGACTCATCTGAGGCTACTTGCCTCATTCAAGGCAGCATTTTTTATACGCGGGATGGGGGGGGGTTATGATATTTTTCACGATTTGTAATCTTGTACACTTTGTATGAATTTTTTTTTTTTTTTTTTTACACTGGAAGTCAATGTGGTATAAGTAGGCTGTTGTAAATGTATCACCAAAAGCGATTGTACACCGGGGAAGATTGTTAAAAAAAAAAAAAAACAAATTTATTGACGGATGAGTTGTCCGCAAAACCCCCAAAGTGTCATCTCAAGCTCCCGGAAGGCTTTCACTTCAGGTTTTACCTCAAGAACTGATCTTTTGCTCCCAAGGACCTTTGGAGCAGACCCTTACAAAATCCTTCCTGTGTGGTCCATTTAAAATATTCAATTTTCATATTTATATCCGTTGTTTATATTTATTGTAAATTATTATTCTGATGATGACAGTACTTGACCAAACATTTTGATACTGATTTTTTTCAGGACTGGTTTTTGGACATTTCCGGTTGTCAATACTTTAATCTGCTTGCATCTGGACATTTGTCTTCAATACTTTCCCCTACCCAAAAATCAGACGTATTGTGAAAGCGACATCGAAGTCTCTTGCATCTTATTGGCGGGTCTCATCCCATTTGCACATTTTATCCAAGTTGATCAATGCCGTGCAATCAGCCGCGCCGTAAACCCTAACCAAGCCTCTTTGAGGGGGGATTCGAGCGCATGTTGATGACTAATTGAACACGCGGGAGCACCCATAATGGCGGCACCTGGCTTATTACCTCCTGACATCTCCTGATCTCCATATTATTGCGCGCTGTTTCCAAGTTTGACAAGGCATCATCATGTCACTGCAATTTGCAAGATTCATGCATTTGCAGTGGGAAGACTTGTGTGCTTGTATATAAAACGAGGGGTGGGTGGTGTCCGTTTAGAGGCGGGAGGCGAAACTCTACTTCCATTTCAAAGTGTTTGCGAGACGGCGCGGAAGTCTCCTCATCCCCCGTCAATCTGCCGCGTCCGTCCGCAGCCCGCTGAGCTGAAGAATTAATGAGACACATCAGAGTGGCGCCTCTGCGCATCGCATTCAATCAGGTGAACTCCTTTTTTTTTTTCCTCTCCCAACTCAACCTGCCTCCTTGTGTGTGCATCATCCAAGGACAACAGGACAACTCGCAATCAAGTCCATTTTGGACTGATTAGCGCAGGTTTATTCATTTTTTTGGGACACACACACTTGATATCAATATGTGAAATATGTTGCATATTCTCATCTTTGTGCCTCATTTATATTCCAGCAGCCAAGTGGGTAGGGTGGCGCCGGCGTTGAAAATTGCAGCATCCCGCCGCTCTTTTCATCTAAGGACACCTCCAAGTGGCGAGCGACCACTCTGGCAACTCTGGAGCAGGTGAGACTTTTGGCTTTTGTATTTTTGTGTACCTTGGAAAGTCGTACTACATCCTGTTTGAGGTTTCGCCTTCAAGAGAAAGGGGATGAGAGGAAAGCGGAAACCCCTTTGGGGCTCTAACCACAGGCCTGACATTACAGTAGACATAAGTAGCCAACACACATTTTAATTGGGATTAAAAAACCAACAAAATTTGTGTTGCTAAGAGTCTCAAGTGTCAGGGTACTCTGGTCATGCAATGTCCAGAAAGCGTTAATAATAACCTCCCCCACCCTCCCAAAATAAAACTTATTGGCTTTTGGGAGGGCACGGAAACCTCACATTTCCCGTTATATGAGACCGAATATGCCGCCGAGATGCAAAATAGGTCATGAATAAAAGATGCACGACTTTCATTAGCCTGTATATCCCGTTTTATCTCGTCGGGCTGCATATAACCTAAAGGTTGGTTTGGGTGCCATTTTCAGTCTCAGCCCCTTTTGGGCGACACCCTTCACGCCAAAATTTGACCGCAGTGCCCTTGAGCTGAGACACCCCGCGCCGATGCCGCGATTGGAATGCGCCGACTTGTGTCGTCGGCGCATTTCGCTCATCGACCGTATGACGTTTTCATCGCACGGTTGACAGAAAAAAAAAATGACAAGCACCCAACCTGCCAAAAGAACATGAAGTGATTTAATGGAAGAGGTGAAGAAGTGTGAGGTGAACGCTAATAATTGTTGTGCGGCTCCGTGCGACTGCTCAACACAATGGAAACGCATTCAAAGGAGGAAGCTTTTAATGGACTCGGTTGAATTATTGTCCTGCCGCTACAGTTGTTTGCATATTTTGAAGACGTAACAATCATAATAAAAGGATCGCGAGGATAATATATTCCACTTTTTTTCTGCATAATTTCTCAACGGCTGCATATGTACACGTTCATAGACATTCATTGAAATTAAACGCAGTAACATTGGCAGTCTTGAGTTTTTCCCCCTTCACGGATGCACTCCAACCCCCCCACCTCTGCACCCTTACCGATGAGAGCAAATTCATTTTAACGGGAAAAGGATTTCCAGGGGGGAAAAAAGGAGCTCCTTGAGAGTGTCTTTATGGACTGAAAATGTTTTCTCGTTGTCAGGTAGTAAGATGGTGCTTCCAGCCTCTGCTGTCACTGAAAAGATGGAAACACAGGCCAACCGAGCGAGGCTGCGCGAGCCGGAACCGAGGTAGGAGGAGTCAAATTACGGCCACGGAGACTCTGTCATTGCAGAATTTGCTCATGTCACACCAAATACATATTATGCGTGCAACTCAGACAGTATCGAATGGGGTCTGACACAAAAGCCGCACAGGTTTTTTTTTTTTAAACCGAAATATTTCACCATTTCAATTGACTTTTCCACCTTTTAATGCAAAGTGTTTTGCTTTTGAGACTGAAATCAATGAAAGTCATCCAAGCATGAACAAGGCGATCAATGGAAAGTGCTTCAAAGCAAATGCAGCAAACCAGAATTGTTAATCTCTCTCGCCGGATGGCCCTAATTAAGCGTTTCGTACCGAGCGACCGGTCGATGAAGATGAATGGTCGCCCTCACTGGGGTTTCTTGAAGCGCTTGTCAAATTAAGGAAAGTACTGTGTGTCGATGAAGCTTGTTGATATTTCATATTCTGTGTTTGGGCTTGATAAGAAAGAAAAAAAAAATCCAACTTTTTTAATGACACCAAAAATAATTGTTGCTTCCGTTGCACAATAATATTTTTAGTTGGGGACACCGCGGAGACAAAGCTTCAAACCAAACATGGCGAATCGGCATTTAGCCGTTACGCTGCACCCAAAAGGACTTTTTATTTCTTTGCTCGTAAAATGTCTTTGATTCTTTTGTTTATAAATGCCTTTAAATGTTGTATTTTTAATGTTGCAAAGGTGCCTCGCCTTGTTTGCAGGGGTACAAGTTTCGCCAACTCTTTTTTTTTTTTTTTTTTTTTTTTAAATAACGTGAACAGAAAAACACAGCTCCAGCTCCATTTCATAGCTCAAGTTATGTTATGGATCGCAACATGTAATGATGAAAGCATCTCGACGTTTGATCTTTCCCACCCTGGGCTTACCTGCAGGGATTGGCGCGATCTCGTAATCCATCTAGCCACTCGGCAGAACCTCCTTAGCGTGGCCTTTTACTTCCCGTCGTGTTGTCCTCAGGGGCCTAGAGATGTGCGCTAATAAGCAATATGCTTGGTCCAAGGTACTGCAATTCCTCGGGTTGCCGTTATTACCGATGGGTTATCGCCACCGGGGAGGTGTCTGAGAGTCGTCGCGCCATTAACACAGGATCACCTCAAATGTGCACAGAGCTCCACTAGAATGGATTTTCCCGGCAAAATACGCTCTAACGTATGTAGGTATTGGATTTTTTTATTTATTTTTTTTTTCATGGACAAGGTATAGTGAACGTTCATTTTGAAGAATTTCTTGTGTTTGAAAAACAAACACATTTGTTTTCTTCCGCCCCTGTTGCATTTCAATGGGCAGCATGTTGAATGAGAATGTGGCTGATGACATCAGACATGGCACGCAAATCATATTTGGGCTTATTATCCTAAATCCCCCCCCACACACACACACTCCAAAAGCTTAATTATATTGTAATGCCGGCAAAAGCATTTAACCTTCTGTGACAGCAATACATTATCCGCTCCCATTGTTCAGCGCAAGCACCAGGGAATATATCCAGCGAGCAATTAGGGGCGGCTAGTTTCGGCTTTCTCCTCACAGAAGAGAACATGCCTGCGGAGCTGTCGCGTTAATTGACGGGCGGAATTCCACAGCGGCCATAAGAGGGAGTTAATGCTGCAATTTCAGGCTAATCTTACTTTTAAAAACTTCCCAAAGCTTGTATCATGACATGTAAATAATACATTCTGTCATTCATGTTCACTCAGTCTGGCAGACGAAATACATCAGTCAGTTCCCGAACCACCAGATTCATTCAAGTGGTTCCAAAAATGATTTCATAGATTGTCTTTGTTTATGCCAGCAACTTAGAGTGACAAGCAGAACAAGGCTGTATTTTCGTGTTGAATGTGTACTTTGGTTTTGAAAATATGCCATGCTCTTTTTTTTTCCCAGCTGTTATCGAAGGATGTTATCGAGTTGCTTTTTTTGAAATCTGCCCTTTCAAGATCTCCACGCCTTGCAGTCCAGCCCACAAATGTCAGACCACTAGTTGGCAACATTGTCGAGAAAGAAACACGCACAGTGGCTTTTTAAGGTTTGAATAAAATGTTTGCCTTGTTCTACATTTTCAGACTTGTCATGATTCGTCTCGGCATGCCAATTTTTTTTTCTTCCTATACATTCCATATGCTGCATGCAAAGCATCTGTCAATCCCGACCCGAGATGCTTGCGTACAAGGACAAATCAATTATCGGTGAACGACGGGCAGATGGTCGTGAAGGACGCCGGCGTCGGCGCTTCAGGTGAGAAGAGGCGTCACGCGGCGGTGAACAACTGTCAAGTATCATCCGCGTCCGATTCCCCCACGTCCCTCTCTCGCACACCCGCGCTCTCACAGGCAGCCTCTTGCCAGTATCGCACGCGATGATGCCACGAAGGGGAGCTGCTGGCGGCTTATTGCGGGGTGGGGGAGAGGCGTGAATATTTCATGACGACACTATCAAACCGAATCGCAGATTAGCATCCTTCACAATTACCCCAGGTGATACTTGGGAGGCTCCGCGGAGAGAGCCCTGCTGCATTCCTGCACATCCATGGAAGGAGGGGGGGAAAAAATGTGTGGTTAAACTTGTAAAAACTGCACTTTTCCTGCAGCAGAGTAATCAAGCAAATCTCTCCGGAGGGGGTTGTGGTGGTCGGGGAGGAGGTGGGGGAATCATCAAAGTGCCTCATTTGCCCACTTCCCCGTTCTACTTGGAGATAACAAGCTAACTAAATTACACTAGCGGCTTATCTGCAGGTAACCAGGACAACCGCTGAGGTTTGTTCATGGCAGAGATGAAGAGGAGGAAGCCTGCTGCAAAGGCGGCTGTCTAAAGACGATGTGGCTTCTTCCATGCGAGCTGAGGTAAAGCACTTGCCACTGAAAGGCCCTTTGTCTCATATTTGTCCAGAATTAAAAATGACAAAGGCATGTACAGAATACGGCACTGCAAGGCCGCTAATGGATTTGGTAAAAGAGCATTTTTATCGAATCAAAGAAAGCTTTTGACACAATTAGCACATTTGGGATTAGATGATTGTGGTTTAAAAAGTTATATGAAGAAGAGACGACAACAAACAGACCTACCTCTGGTTCACTTTTCGGTAACACCCGTGGAGAGAAGCATTCGTTCTACATTGTGGAACGTGAACGTGGTTTACAAAATTAAAAAAAAAATATTGTGGCTGTAACGTATATACAAAACAAATAAACGGCAGTGTTAGGCAACTGGCGACCCGTGGACCACACTCGATTAATTCCTGAAACAAAACTGTTTCTGAGCCGTTGAAAGATGTAATACCAGCGTTAGCCACAGGGCGACAGACTTCGCTCACTAGCTCCTCCAACTGCGAGGGTCGGCGTCAGAGAAGAAGAGCGTGTCATGACCGCCATGATACCGGTCTCAAAGGAACGCCGAGAGGCTTGTAATTTTTTGTTGTTTTTTTTAATGTATAACGTTGTTGACAGTTCGTTTGAAGTGCACAAGCAGTTCGCAACTTTGTCTCGTCGAAGAACATGACTTATGTTCGGGGCTTCATAGTGTTCCAAACGCAAATGGCGCCCTAATTGGCGATTCTTTCGCTTGTTGACAGTTCGTTTGAAGTGCACAAGCAGTTCGCAAATTTGTCTCGTCGAAGAACATGACTATGTTCGGGGCTTCATAGTGTTCCAAATGCAAATGGCGCCCTAATTGGCGATTCTTTCGGATGGACGGGACCAACTTGACGGTTTGCACACAGGTGAGTGAGCCAGCCTGTCAATTTGTTAGTTTAATATTTTAATCGTTTAATACTTTGAATGGGTTGATTTTTGTGAAAACTTACACAAAGTGAGTTCTTGCACGTGATGTTGCTTTGCTGTTCCGCAGTTTTTGCCATTTTTGAATTTGAATATTTATGGCAGAGAGCCCTTTGCACAGGTTGGAAAAGTCACAGTATGCGTTTCGTTTTTTTTGTCATTGAGAAGTATGTATCCGAAAATGTAAATAGATTTGGAACCTAAAACGTTCATGAACTGACGCAGTATTTCCCATTGAAGACAGGAAATGCAATTAATCTGTTCCAGCCCCCTAACTAATTTATACTTTTTTTTAATCAGTGTGTGATTAAAAGTAAATATAATGCAATGTACAAATACGTGGAAACACGCAAAATGTATACATACAGTATTGTGTAAGTTTTGATTTGTGAGATTAATCCAATGTAAAATATGAGTGTTGGTTCAATAGAGGAAAGCTGCGTTAAAGCATACAGGACGTGATCACTTGCAAATATTTTCACAGGATGTCGGTTGACAAGACGCAGAGTCTAATCATGGAAATGGACTCTGCAAAACTGACAAAAAGGCAGCTAATTGTGATTCACGGCTCCAGATAGCAATCGGATGAAGTGATTAAGCTTTGCTTGCCCACATCTTCAAACCCGGCCTCTTTACAGCAACCCATCCTCCTCCAAGGCGCCGTCATATCATTCCCTTATTAATCTTTCTTTGTTTTGGAGCCTCGTTGCTCCCACTGGAGCTCTTTCTTGATGCAATTAGGAGATGTAATTATTCCTCGACAGGGCTGTAAATCCAAACAATCTATGCATGTGTCCAACGTGTCATATTGGTGCACAACATATAGTAAACGCGCACGCCGAGTGGGAATCTCTCGCTTGTCTGAACACTCTCTATTTGATTGCAACAAATACTATTAACCGAATTCTTCAGTTGTACAGGGGTACATACAAGACTGGTCAAAGGACCGATTTAACTTCTTTACTGCCGTAAAAATAAAAAGGAAAAAAAATAGACGTGTGTCAAAAAAAAGCCAGCACGTGTCGAAAAGGCGGCGAGACACTTACCGAGGCCTTCAATCAGCAGTGATGAAAAAGTCGAGCTTTCATCGGCGTTGGCCAGTAAAACATTTACAGTGCCCGCCCTGAGAGATGAGATACGGCGCTCGCTAAGGCGGAAAGAGATCCAAGGCCATGCGAAATTGATCGCGAATGCGTCACTTTGCAAACACAACAAAACGCTTGCTTTTATTGGTGCCTGTAAAAGGACCATGACAATCATCTTGAGTGAGCAGAACGGACTCTTTTTTTGAGTCCATGATTTTTAATGAAACTATAAATTGACCCAATGCAACTTTATGTATAGAGCGCATTTCACAACAGATGCAACTAGTACGGAAAGGCCCTGGAGAACCAAGCTATCTTTGGCCAAAACTTGCTATACGATGCGAGTTTTTATTTCAGTTTTTATCTATTTCACTGGATTGTAACATGGCACTGCCATATTGTTCTTTTGTCATCCTCATGCAAGACTTTTGAGTTGTCTTTTTCTGATTTGTCAGGTACCGGATTCCTCCCGTTTGAAAACATCCTCTGCTGCCGCCGCCACCTCACCTGCATCGACGCCAGCGAGTCACTTGCGCTGAGGCCTCAAAGACTGAAAGCCCAATCTGTGAGTTTGAGTCTTTTCTATCCGTCAAAACTATCTGCCTGCTCCTTTGAACCACAAACAAACAAATAAAAGAAATCAAAACATAACGAAGGTCCCGTTAGCTTAATGCTAACTTGAATTGAAAACGCCATTGAGATGTAAATTAGCATAGATATGACAGCGAATATAAATCTTCCAACAACTGCTACTTTAACACATGGAAAGAGAACAATATTCACCGCTATTCTCACTTTTGTGCCCAAATATATTTCTGTAGGACTCTGAAGCGGCACGGTTTTCTCACTGTCAATTTCGTATTGGGCTGAAAGCTGTTTTTCTCAGCCCTGGACAGATGTTGGTCAGCCTTGTGACACATTCTGTGTTTTTTTTTTTTTTTTTTTTTTTTTTATCTGCTTCACTGCCTCCCAAAGTGTTCTCATATTGACTTTTCTCTTTTCCCTTCACTTGGCGACCGCCACTCTTCTCCCCTGACAGTACACGATCCATCTTTGGAGGCTAGATAATCATGACTCTTCCCCCCCAATTATATTCCTTTCACCGCGTTCCCTCGTTAGCAGACCTCGTTAGTCGCCCTGCTTCCGACTGTACTGGTGATTGCCCCCCCCCACACCCCAACCCACCCCCCCCAAAAGAAAAAAAAGGCCATCAGCTTCATATCCTCCCCCCGGAAGATTGGGGCTTGATAAACAGGACCGATAAGCTCTCTCTGAATGCATTTGATTTCGCTGACTCTGAAAGCCAGCGGGGCGCTGAACTGTTAGCTTGCGCATTTAATCACTGACGTCATGTCTAAAGTGATAGACAAATCATCCTCATGTATGCCTGCTCCCTCCCTCCCCCCCGTATAGATAATTAAGCTGTAGTCCAATTGATTTATTGTCTTGCGCGCGGGCTTCACACTTGACGCCATCCGCCGCGCGGCATAACAACAAGTTAAAGGCTTTAAATTAACACAGTGGGGCCTTATTGTCATGGGAACAGATAGCAGGTGTTTCTCTGCCTTTCAGGCTCGGACAAGCACAGTGTGTGAAACGCGCACGGATGCGCGTACGGCGTGCGCCCGTCAATTTGTAGCTGGCATTTCAACTTGGCTTCACAGATTTTTACACACGTGTGCCTCCGAGCAGATCAATAAAACGGACCCAAGGCGTAAATTGACACCTGAGGGAGCCCGTGAGCGGCAAGGCTGTGATTTGGTGGAAAGTGGGGGGTCGGGGGGGTGGCTTTTAATTCAAAAAGAGCGCAAAATTTACTCTGGTGATGAAAAAAAAAAAACAGGCTTGA